ATTTGACTTTTTGAATTTGAGATAAAAGAAGCTCAAAGTAATATTAAAATTGATTAAATTATCTTATTTATTAGTGGAGTTATAATATTAATGAATTTACATGGAAGCAAGCAAAGAATCTTACAAACAGAATAGAAAAAGTTAAAATTTTTCATCAACAACATTCTTCAAAATTAAAATGAAAGATCAAGCAATTCCCTATTGTAAAATAAAAGATGTTCAATGAAGATTGAAACTTATTTTCTATCCTTTATTATGAGTTCTTTTTTATTTTAGCAACATCAATGAGATAAAAAAACTAAAACTGGCAAATTCAACTCAAGAGCCATTGTTTGCTAATTTACTAGATATAACATTGAAATTGTTACAACCTTCAAAACAATGTAATTGACATGAAGATCTTTAAAAATAACATGTTCTTCCTTGAATAGATTTTGAGATATAATGCATTTGATATCATGACCTTAGACGAAATTTTCAATGCTTAGTGATTTTATTGGAAGTAAGATCGACTTTTGATAGTATAATCAATGTTTTATTTGAAAAAAGTTATAAAAGCTTCAACAATTATCAAATAATAGAGTGATCATTTATCCTAAAATAAGACATTATTGATAGTTGAGAGAACCTATCAACTACCTTAAAAAATAGTAATTAGAGTATATAGCAAATAGAATTTGTCACATCTTAGACTTCATTAATATGTAATGACCACTCCTTGTAGAAATTGTTCTTAGAAGAGAGAATAATGTTCTTTGTACATTTATTCTAATAATTATTTAAGTAATATGAATAGATATAAGTATGTATAAATGAATTAAGTTAATAATGTCTTGTAAAAAAACTTATTAAAAGATTAATAAATGTGCTTTTATCTTTATATATGACTTTAAGTGATTGATAGGTTAGAAATTTGGCCTACAAGCTAGTCATATATCACATGTATTAATAGCTTGTAGAACAAGCCAAATACATGGTATACATATATAATACTTATTTTGTAAGTTAGACATGTGTCTTGTAAGTTGAACACATGTTGGAGGTCTTATAAAACATTATTGTCTAGCTCTTAGGTAGATAGTATATATAGAGCCAAGAGTGAAGCCTTCTTTACTCTTGTCAATTTTTATTTTTTATTTTTTTATTTATTTTTTCTTCTAATTTAATTTTAAGAATCTTTAGCTTCCTAGTTTTTGACAATAGCCATTCTAATTTCTTATTAAAAGTATTTATTTTCTTATTTATATTTTATCAAGTGTCTTTGATTCATTTTTTACTTATTTACATATCTTCTTTGAATTCTTATTCTTAACACCTTAATATTAATATTGGTCAAGAAATTTGCATTTAAATTGAACAAAACTTGATGATGTTTCTAAAGTAGTCCATGCTTTTATTAAGCTAGACCTTATTGGCACAATTTCCAACTTCAAACTTAACTAATTCATGCAACTAATTTATTTCTATTGTATTAAATTAACATGTTTTTTTGTCTCTATATTACCAACTTTAAATTTGTTGAAATGTTGTAGCAATTGATATCTTCAAGAATATACTATTGCTTAAGTTTGAGATTCATTTAAATTTGGCATTCACAACCCCTATTTGTTATCTTTATCTATTATATAAAGACTTTGTTCTTAATGCTTTGTGCTCAAAGATGCCTCTTAATCCAAGTTGATGGCAATCTTAAGATGATCCTTCAAACAATACAACTTCTATCTTGTTTGAATTGAATTATAAATATAAATATTATGTTTTACAAACACCTTTTTTCAAAGACATGGTAAAAACCACGGTAATTGATCCATAATGCATGGGCTCATCAACTTCATACCAATACCATATTTTTGCTAATCATGCATCTTCTTACTTTTGCTTTGCTATGGTGAAATGTCTCTTTTTACTAACTGCTTATTTACAGCCTTATCAAAAGATTTGATCTATTCAATAAATATATAATATTATCTCCTCTTCAACTAATGCCTTAGACTTCCAAGTTTTCATTATCCACATTGTCATTATCTTCTTTGATTAAATAGTTGAGAAACGCCATTGCTTGAAAGCACTTCCAAAACTTAGTTCTATTGCACAAGAAAGCTAAAAAGTTCCTTTATAATAAAAATATCGACCAAAAACATCAAACACAAATTGAATGGAAATAAATGAGAGAGTAGATGAATGAAGGTAGTAAAAAATCTAACTAGCTAACAAAAGTTAAGAAGAAAAAAAGGGCAAGGAAAAAATACAACACAAATGCACATTCAAGATAGAAGGAAAACATGGACATTTGTAAAAATCAATTATTGAGAATCTTGGAAACCAAGGCTATTTGGATCTTAGAAATTCTCACTATTCCAACCACTTTGTGCTTTCACATTCTCAAAGTTTCATTGAATATTCAATCAAAATATATATTTTTTCTTTATCTTATATCTAAATTATGAATATATATATATATATATATATATATATATAAACTTGGATATGATATAAAAAGACAAAAAAATATTACTTGGTTCTAAATAAGAAGACATAAACAGTTCTAATAACTAAATGAAAATATTTTCAAATTTGTGCATTTCATAATTATAAAAATAATATATTTTATAATTGAATCAATAAATTTAAATAATTATACCATATATAATTTTGAATGTTTCAATTTTATTCAAAGTGACTTCTATATATATATATATATATATATATATATATTTGATTACAAGCACATCTCAAATTACTATATATACCTAAGATCTCTAATTGAATAATATAAATTTCTATTTTTTATTTTTTGTGCATAGACTTTGAACCTCCTCCCACTCTTCTTTGTCTTGGTATAGATCTTAGTTTCTTCATCATCTTCTTTTATGTTTTGGCATGGATCTCAAATCTACTTTCTTTCTTTTTTATTTAGATGCAAATTCTGATCCTTTCTTCTTTTGTTTTGACTTTGAGGCAATGAAAAAGAAAAGAGAGGGACTTAGATCCTTGTTGTGATAAGAAAAAGGATCTAAAATCTACATTAGAATAAAAAAAATAAAGAATCTAGAAAAGCCAATCAAAAGCCTTAGGTGTCTTTATAGCTATAATAGATGTATATATAGCAATTTAGGATGTACTTGTTACATGAGGCAAATATATATATATATTAAATCAAATCAAGTATATTAATTCTTGATTCTTTTACATTTAGTAACAAATGTTGGTAGTTTTTTATATCTACGCATCTCTTAGATTTGATAATAATTCCTATAACATTAAATACTTTGTATTGGTATATCAATCTAAAAATATATATATATATATATATATATGTAAGAAAATATTTAAATATTTGATGAAAATAAAAATAACTTTAATTATATTTTTAATTACAATACTTTAATTACTTAGTGATTTTTAATTATGAATATGTATTATTTTTGAACAATATGTCAAATAAAATGTTGTATCATATAATATTGTTCATGTCTAAAGTAAAATTTTAAATCTTTCTTGACCAAAAGTTTCAAAACTTATTTAACTTGTTACAAAAATATCGCTTTTTAAATAGTTTACATTGTATGTTTGTTTTGATATTTGACAGTTTAAGAAAAGAAATGATTTAGATACTTTCTCTTGTTGTTTACATACTTTCTCTCATCCATTCTAACCATCATGAAAATAAAAAATGGCCTCTAGATTTATTTCTCTACTATTGGATATGCAACTACATTCATTATGATTACCATATTTTTCATCAAAGGCATATCTATTTAGTAAAAACATGGGTCTATTTAATATTTTCATACATAGATATATACGATAATTATTCAATTTATTTCAAATTAAATATTTGACCACAATTTTAATATATTGATTCACTTTAAACCATTCAAAACATTGATTGTTATGCTATAATCTAATTTTTTTAATCAAATGTTTATATAACTCCTAAGAAATATGATGCATTGTGCTACTGGATTTATCTATTACCATGGATTTAACATCTACAGATTTTATGGTGAAAAATGTGTATCAAAAACTATTGCACCAAAAAGTAATTGGTGCATATTTCATTTTTATTTTTCTCCCAAATAAAAATTTATTACACAGTAATATCCAAACAACAATAAGAAATTTAAAATCACAAGTACGAACCTCACAACAAGAAAACTTCTCTGACACCTTCTTTCAAACTTTATTGCTATAAATGAATTGAGACATCAAACCCGCATGATGTATCAAGACATGTTGTATCACCACACAACTAGAGTCAATGGTCTTGCAGAAACACTATTTTTTGTGTGTAAACAACAACAAGGAGATCATTTTAAAATTTAAACTACATAGAATCCTGTTGTGAGAACACAGACTTTGGGGGAGGAGGACAAAATTAGAGTTACGAAAAGGACGAATCCTGGAAAGAAACGAGACGAGACGAGACGAGGGGGGGACTTCCACGCTCCCACGGCGAAACGCGCGCAGCCATATGGCGGCGACACGCAGGGGCAGGACAGGATTTGAATCCGCGGGGCAGGCGAAGAAGGCGAAGAAGGGCGAGTCCGAGAGGCGATCGCGGAGGAGCAGGGGAATAGCGACGCGAATTGGGGAGCGTGGGGACGGGGAGTTTGGAGTGGGGGCACTGGCGCGTCGTCGCAATTGCAGGCACCGGGCACCAACTGCTCCTCAAGTCTCGCCCTCATTCTCGCCTTCACCCGCTCCCCGTATCTGTCTCTCGCTCTCTCCCCCCTCCCACCCCCCCCGCCAAGCACACCGCCCCGCGCCAAGCCCCTCTCACCTCACCTCCTTACACTTCGGATCCCCTTCTCTCCCCGCCCCTCCCTCGCTTGCCTTAAGGCATGGTTGCTGCTCCTTCTCTCCCTGCTAGGATTACTCCCTCCTCTCCCCTCCTCCCAGATCTGCAGGCTGCGCCACTGCTCATTCTCCGATGTAAGACCCTTCTTTCTTCCCCACCCACTCTCCCTCCTGTGCTTTTGCTTTCCTGTCTACTTCGTTGCCATTCTTTATTCTCTAAGTATGTCTGACTGTTTAGTTGCGGTTAAGTGAATCACACTTGCATTCAATCTCTGGACGTTGAATTGGAAATCTAGAATCGATGCCTTCAGCGTGGTACATACTTGCATGTACTTTCTTGGGTTTTCAAGGTCTGGTGGGATGCTCTACTCTCATAGCTATTTACACGAATTTGACAGAGACGTGGTTCGATGGATAGAGTGTAATGTGGTCTTATCGGTAACTACGAGGCTCATAATATAACTTCGAACTGCCTGTCCTCGGTTAGCAACGGGAGCATTTTGAACCAAAGGCGATGGTACCAGGTTGTCTATGATATGGAACTTGCACAGGATGTACTAGACGCGGATGAGTAGCGGAGACGTGTGAGACAATGGTTTAAACCAAGTACTGGGATCATTTGAGAATGTGCCAGTGTTGCAGTCGAGTAGTGTCACAGCCGAAGACTCACTTTTGTCTCGCACCCTCTAAATCTTCATAAAAATAGATGGTTTTGATGGTATCATACTTCGAATCTAGACTTACCACGCTCTTATTTCTCAAGCTAACGAAAACGGTTTGTCCTTTCAGGGTGACTGCAAGGATGGCTGCTATGTGGGTAGTGGCTCTTTTGCTGGTGAGCGGTGTGCTCGTGCACTCCGAGGAGATAATACAGGCAACTGTCGAGAAAGTCTCTGACCGTCCCAGTTCACCTGCAGTCGAGACGTCGCCAGCGACTGTTGAAACTGAGCCCGAAAATCCATCAAACACGACGCACCAGGCTGTTCTTGCGGCTAGCTCGGTCGGTACTCAAGAGGTTCTAGTTTCACTTGATCTTACCCGTGGAACGTTGGAGGATGTACCAAACACTAGCATGTCACCTGAATCTTCGGTTGACGGTTCATCGTTTGGAACTGCTGCTGAAAATGATGGAGATACTGCTGCTTCACCCTCCGAGGAACCAACTTCTGATGCTCCCGAAGTCGTATTCGCATCTGACCCGTCTGAACAATCGGGCCACTTAGTTCCAAACATGAACATAACGCTCGATGGATCCTCGGGAGCTGCTGGTGACGGGAGCTCTTTTACCACTTTGTTCGATGACGCATCTGATTCAAATGAGGGGGGTGTGCTCACCGACATTAATCTAGATCTTGGTGACGGCAAGCAAGGAGACTTCTCCACTGCGAGTTTACCCGACGATCAAAGCGAACAGGGATTTGACAGTTTTAGTGTGCAGGGCGGTGGAGGTGACGACTCCCAGTCTGGTCATTTAGTGGAGGGGCTTGATATTAACATCGATTCTGATCCTAGTAACTCTGGAAGCAGCTTCTCTACCAACAATGTGTACCCTGGCGAGCCTGACGAGTTTGCATCCTCGGGTGAAGGACATTTGGTTCCCGGAATGCCAACCATATCAGAGGATGAAGATGGTGCGAGTTTTAGCCAGTTCCAGGGAACTCAACCGGAAGCGGAGAACGATGACGCCATTTTCTCTTCCAATGACGGGACTTTTGATCCATCCACCACCGCTGATACTCTGGCGGAAGGTCATCTTGTTCCTGGGATGCCAACCATATCAGTGACCGATCCCTCCGGAGACCCCAATGCCAAGTCTTTCAGCTCTCTGAGCAATGACGACATGGATTTAGATCCTAGCCTTGCTGACAACGATTTCTATGCCGAACAGTCTAATGAGTTTGCTTCCTCGGGCGAAGGACATTTGGTCCCGGGAATGCCAACCATATCAGTGGACGAAAGTGGTGCGCGTTTCAGCCAGCTCGAGGAGACACAACCTGATGCACAGGACGATGACAGCATTTTCTCTTCCCATGACTCGACATCTGACCCATTTAACACTGATGATAGCTTTGCGGAAGGTCACCTTGTTCCTGGAATGCCATCCATCTCAAGTTTCGAAAAGAACGCAGATTTCAAGGGATCTTCTTTCAGCACGGAGACCACTCTGAGCACGGATGACCAACCAGATGAGGTTTTTGCCAGAAAGGCCGGGTATGCTCCAGTTCCTAGGAGCTATGGTGGAGTGTGGAGGAACGCAAGGTCTACCTTCTACGGTGGAATGGATGCTGCGGGAACCATGTGTAAGTTTTTATTTGGAATACGCCTGCAAGGATTCCATTGTCTTCGCCTTCATTAGTGTAAGGTTTGGATGTCGGCTTTCATTGTTTTCCCTTGTGGAGGTGTAGTTTTTTTTAGTATGTACTGCGTGCGATTATCTTACTATGGTGCATGTTGATGCAGCGGGAGCTTGTGGATATGGCAATTTGTACGCTTCTGGGTACGGTGTGCACACCACTGCGTTGTCCTCAGCGTTGTTCAAGAACGGAATGGCTTGCGGCGCTTGTTTCGAGGTGCAGTGCGGTGGGAAGGGAAAGCCCTGCAAACCTGGATCTGTGGTTGTGACCGCCACCAACTTCTGCCCACCCAATCCAGGACAGAGTGCGAACAATGGAGGATGGTGCAATCCTCCTAATGAGCACTTTGACCTTTCCTACCCCGCTTTCGTTAAAATCGCCGATCCCAAGGCTGGAGCTGTGCCCCTGCAATACCGAAGGTTCGTGCTATTTGCCTTTAAAAACTTTGTTTGCTGGCTTTGACTGCTCTTTTTTTCCATCGTTATATTTCTCACCTGGAAGTAGATGCAATGTTTCTTCTCATGAACTAAAGTGGTATCCGATGTGTCTGCATTCAGAGTGCCGTGCCAGAAGCAAGGAGGGATTCGATTTACTATTAATGGCAACTGCAACTTCATCCTCGTGACCATCACCAACGTCGGCGGTTCGGGAGTGGTGACTGCGGCGTACTTGAAGGGCGACAAGACAGAGTGGTCTCCGTTGTCAAGAAACTGGGGCGCGAACTGGCAGTGCAGGCGCAATTACTGCGGTCAAGGTATCTCCATCAAGATCGTCACCAGTGACAACAAGGTTTCAGTCACGAAGCTAGCCAAATCTGACTGGTGTTTCGGGAAGACCTTCATCGGAAAGCAAGTCTAATCAAGCAAGTTCTTCGAATACGTCGACCCAGTTCAGTCGAAACTTCTGAATTGGAGATGGCAGTCTAGTTTAATTAGGAAAACGATAGCTTTCTCAAGTGATTATTATTTATTTGATTTTCAACGGACCCGGGGGAAAATGGGCTGATGTTGTACTCCGGAGGCAGGATTGTTCATCAGCTGTGTCTGTAGACAGTAGCGGAGAGTTGACTGCTATTTATGACCGTGTCATTCCCGAAGGAGGTCGATGAGCTCCATCGCCGCTTCCTCGGATGGGTTTCTCTCACACGCTTACTCACTCTATCTGTTTTAGGAGCTTCTTCAGTTGTGAATGATATGATCTTTACACATATACTGTGGCAGTGGTGTTCGGCTTCGCCCGCCACACTATTTTCATTACCCATTGGAAATCTGATTGTTGGAATAATCTAATACAGCCAGCATTTTATGACTTTGTAAAGTAGTTCATATGTTATTTTTTAAATATTCTCGCCGAATTTGTCGATCTTTGTGCATGTCTTAAATTAGCATTTGTTCGGTTTTTATTGTTTACCTCTTCTAGTTTCTGTTTCAATAAATCACTGAAACATTGTCTCAATTTTGTTTATGAAATTTGAAAAATATATTACTTTCACAAATCTGTGTATTTGAATGTTAACCAATAACAGTGTAGGTCAATCTTAAAATGATTCACCTCGATAAAAATATAAACCATAATTATTGTTTTACCTATTCTTTTAAAAATTGAAGAAAATCGTCTTCGTTCTTTGTTAATCCTTATTTGATGTAATGACGTTGTCAATATTGTAGACTAATCGGCTGACTTGGAAGACGTTTGTCAATGCAATTATTTATAGTTGGAGGCCAATTAGAGAAACTCATTGAGCCTATTGAAATCCTGAACTTAAGGAAAACTGTATCACCAACATTGCCAGTAATAATTACTCCAATCCATTCTCCTTCAGCCGTAACGCCGTCTATTCTGCATCATTTCCTTGCAACCTTTCCTTTGTTCACAACATTTAACGGCTATTTTTCGCTAAGACACTTGAAAAATAAGAAGAAAGCGAATTTAATGAGATGTTGCGATCCACTCGGGGGGGGGGGGGGAGCATGCAGCAGCGGATCGAGGCCATACAAAACAGGTGTGTCAGACGTAACCAACGTGGCCGATGCTTGCATCAGAATAGGCAATCCTCCAGCTCTCCTTCCCTGCCCCAGGAATCTGTGCACGACTCCTGCAAGCTCATGCTACAGCTCTCCTGGCTCGACTTAGCCAATCCACGCCGACGATGCCAAAAGCTGATGGACTCAGCTCCCACCTGGACTCCTCCAGAAAAAATCGGATCGAATCTCGCAACCATGGAAGGCTTCAGGGATTCGTTGCGGTGCAACGATGGTGCAGCTTCCAGATTGGATAACGCAGCTCCTCGTTTACAACCTCAAGCAAGAAAATTCGGAGCAGGCTGTCGCAGATCTGTGCGGGTGCCAGGCTCGACTGGGTTGTGCTCGACATTCTTCACGTGGAGTCGCACTTAACCATCACCAGGCTTCTTGTGCTGCGACAAATCCTTGTTTGATCCACTATGGAGGACCGTATGGAACAAATGTTGTAAATCATACTTGTTTGTTTGTTTGTTTGTTTGTTTAGGCTATAATCAAAAGAATTGGCCAAGCATGATGCTGAAGTTAAGGGTAGAGTGGAAATGTTCTTAGCAAGTTTTGAATTAAACGAACCCCATGTTCAGTCCTTGTCCAACACAAATAAATTAAGTGTTGAAGATGTCAATATTAGAGGTATAATGGTGAGTCCACAAGCCGTGATGAGGTTCCCATAATATTGTGGATTAGAAACAAGACTATCACTGACGTAGTTTAGTAAAATCCAATCCAAAAGGCACATGGTTTCAACACATGTGTTTCAAAGTCTAAATGCCAATATTTTAGGTATTGCTAATGCCACCACAATTTGCCATCTACTCAACATATTTTTCTAATTCTTTTTATCATAATAAAAAATGTTTTAATATTTTTATTTTTAAAATAAATAAATAAATATATATATATATATTTATAATATAAAATAATATAAAATTAATAAGAATAAATTGTAGTAGTAGTGGAAAAAACTATATTGACATGAGGAACATCCTTCTTTTTTAGAATAATTTGAATAAAAATAAAGTAAAATTTAAAAAAAAAATTAAAAAAAGAAATGAAGTGAATTTTTTGTTTCTTTGTTTTGTATTTTTGTTATGTACTATTCATATAGTAAGACCTCTTATGTAGGTATAGTAAAAGTTAGCTAAATAGAGTATGGTGGCACCTATAAGTAATAAGTAATAATACTAGCCTATTGAATGGATTTACAACAAGAATACAAGAATGATACAAAATAAGGCAAGTGCACTAAATAAGAGCAATATTCGAAAATTATCTATTAATTGGTTTTAACAAAAGCTATGCATGATTTATAATAATAATGCAACTTCTTTAAATCTTTGTAGAGAAAGATGTAGTGCTTTGTAAATTGTGTTTCTACAAAACTTGTTTTAGTATCATGATTCATATAAGACATGCATTTCATTGATGATTCCTCAAGTTGGCCAGGAGGATTGGTAATAGAAAGCAATGGTCTCATATCATTAAAGAAAGTAATTAAGAATGGTTTTTTTTAATATAAAATAAACTCAATAAAAAATATTTAAAGGAACTTAATGTTTTCATTATTTTGAACTACACAATTTAACTTTACATCTCAAGTATAGAATCCTACAATTCATCTAAAGAAAATATGAGATCCTAAGGTGCTACATAGGCTAGTTAGGCTTCAAATTTTTAATTGAATTATTTTGAAGAAAATTTTAGATAAATTAAAATTAAATATTGTATAAGTTTTAATTAATTTTCATAGAGTATTAGATAAAGTTGTAAGAAATAATAACATTGAAGAATCTTATTTCTATGCAGTAATTAAATCAAGCATGGATTCATGAATTGAAAGTAATTGTAACTAATCTATTTTTATTTTTTTTTAAAGAAAGAAAAAAAAAACATAAAAAATAATTATATACATGTTCCAATATAATACAAATTCTACTTTGTTTCAAAAGATAGACTAGAAGAGTGGCTTAACATAAAGAGCTTTAAAGAATATAAGAACAAATAATTAAAGACAAGTTGTTATAAGAATTCTAATATTAATCAAAATAAACATAAGAATTATAGAAATGAAATACCTTATAAGAGAGAATATTGAATTTGATTAAAAAGGGTGTTAAAACCAAAAATGTCGAAGATTTTATATTAATTTTAAATTCGAGAAGAAAAAAAATTGAAATAATTCTTGAAATACAAGAAGGATCTATATTATAGTGTTATAAAAACATGTTTTAATTATCAAGTTTTTTTGTAATCAAATAAAGATGAAAATTGACATAGAGCTATTAAAGATAATAAAATTAAATTCAATAATCTTGATAATAAAATTTGATAATCCAAAAAATAATTATTTAAATTTAATTAACATGGATATTTTTTACATTAAATCCCACTTTAAACTTTGCTACCACGACTTTTGAACTTGAATCAAGCTTGCATGGTAGAAAATACAACTAGAATATAGATCAAATAAGGTCAAGCTCAAAAGGTGAAATACTGATTGTAAAATCAAAGAAGTTTTACTTCTTGGATTTATAAAATAAAATATTTGGTTATTACAATAACTAAGAAAAACCACTTCATTTGTAATATAAAAACATAATAATAATTTCAATCATCACAGATATTACTTTCAAAGAGCTCCTCTATTTGATTGTTTTTAATTTTTTAAGAGGTAATATTGACAAAAATAAGATCATATCCAAATAATCATAAAAATAATGCAAAATTTGCAAAATAAAGAAAGAAGTTTTAAAATTTAGTAAAAAATTCTATAATATATATATATATATATATATATATATATATATTATAAAATAAGATAAAATAAAATTACAACTACAACTTTAAGTATGGAAAATATTAACTACTATATATGTAAATTAAAGGTGGTATCACTAGGACTCAATAATTTTTCTTTTCTAAAACATATAACTACAAATTATATAAAAATAAAAAACATAATTTTCTATATAACCTTTTAAATAATGACTTATATTATGAATTATTTTCAAACACAAGTAAATATATTAATTCAGTAATAATTTAAAATAGACATGTAATTTAAAAAATTATATAATTATTAGAAGGAGTATTATATAATAATGATAATAGTTATATAGAAAATGATAGTATATTATTAAAATTATTGAAAATAATTAAATACATAATATATATATATATATATTTCAATTGGAATAAATCTTGTCAAAAGAAAAAAAAGATCACAATGTAAAGATTAGCATAAACTAATCTTTGGCATCATAAAATTTACCAATTATAAAAAAATTTATTTAAGAATATTATTACTCTATTAAGCTAATTTAATATTCTATTCTATTTTTAAAACTTTATTTTAAATATTTTATTTATATTTGAATAAATAAAAAGATATTTAGATTGCAATGATAAATTAATAATGTTGCAAATGCAAATATCTATAACAATAAATTAGCAATGAGATATTATTTTTGGAAGAAAGAAATCAAAGCCACCACAAATTTCTTTCATAAAAATATTAAGATTCTTATATTTTGATCTTTTTTTATAAAGTATTTTATGATATTAAATATTATATAGTATAATATGAGGAGATTAAATAATTTTCTATATCTATTCTAAAACATTGTATCTATCTTAATTGTATTGAATCTAAATGTAATATTCTTCTCATTCATGAATACAAGATTTGTAGTAAGAGAGCCTAAGATTGTAGATTTTTATTATAATGTTGAACTAACTATAGATATAATAGAAATCCCTAGATATACGAAAAATTCAAATAAAAAATTAGTTGGGAGATTGCATATCTTTCATAATTGCTTATATTAAGCATTTAGTCATCAATTTAGAATATATGATAGACATAACAATACATAAAATTATAAAAGATTGCTTTCGAAGTTCATTAGAAATAGTATATATTCATATATGAAAAAAAAATTAAAAAAATATGTATATATTTTTTGGAATGAGTTAGACAATCTATTATCCAAGAATATATTATGGATCCTAAGTGGAGATTGGAATATATTAGAAAAATATAAAAATAGAAAAATATAAGTCTTGTAATTGTAATAAATACTTTAATGGAGAAGAATAAATACTCTTAGAACTTCTTCAAGACTAGAAAATAATTTAAAAACACATTTATTTTAAAAGAAAAGACACAATAGATTCTTATTGAATAATAATAGAATGCATGTTTTTGTTTTTAAATACTTGATATTTTTATATTATAGATGTAGAATCTAGTATATTTATTATTTTAATTTATTATATTAGAAGAAAT